AAAAAAAAAAAAAGAAGCTGCTGCCCAATACTCAAGTCCACCAGAAGACGCTCTTAGCAGCTTTATTTGTAATGGCCGAACACTGGAAACAACTTAGATGTCCATCAATTTATAAATGAATAAACAAATTGTGGTATATCTGTACAATGGAATGCCACTCAGCAACAAAAAGTAAGAAGCAACGCATGCCTATGACATGGATTCTCACAGACCTAGTGATAGAGACAGATGGGTAGCCAGACACAAATGAATACATACTGTGATGACGTACCTGGGAGTGGGGTGGGGCTTTGACTGGAAAGAAAGACTTCTGGAGTATTGTTCATATTCTATCTCTTGATCTGGATGGTAGTTAACATGGATTTACACACACACACACACACACACACACACACACGAAAAAAATACACTGACTTGTAACCTCAAGATATGTGTGCTTTTACAGCATGTATATTATACATCAAGAAAAATTAAAAAGTAAACTACCTGGGCCTTACCCCCAGAGTGCCTAACTTAATGCATCTAGGGTATGGCCTGGATGAATGGATTTTTAAAAGCCTCCCAAGGGATTCTAATGGGCGGCAGGGGTGACACTAAACCCTAGGAGAGCCAGAGCCCCTTCTCTGACTACTCTAAATTCTGGGCTCTGGTTCCCTGCCCCTGACCTTGGCTTCAGCAGGAAGACCCATTGCAGAGAGACAGCCTAAGGCAGAGGGGAAGGCTGCAGGTTCTGCAGAGTCCATATCTATCATTTCTACCTCTGTGACCTTGGGCAAGACATATCTCTTTCTCTAAACCTCAGTTTTTGTTTTTTTTTGGTTCTGTGTGTGTGTGCACGCTTGTAATACATGGCAGGTGATATATTTGTATTTCATGTACAATACAGGGTGGGAATGGTAAAAATGGGGTTGGTTTTTATAAAGCTGATCTCTTTAAAACATGCCACTGCTGCTTGAACCCTTTTTTGTGGCTTTTCATTGCACTTTGAATAAAATCTTAACTACAGTATTTCGCCCTGTTAACCTGTTAAGCCAATCTGAGCTGGCTGCCTTTCTTCTCCATTCCTCTGCAGTAGGGCCTTTCATAGGACTTGTTCCCCCAGCCTGTTCTCAGCCCAAGCTTGACTTCTCCGTAGGTTTCAGCTGAACTGTCACCGTCTCATTCACCGTTACTCTCTGTTACTACACCCTGGTCATTTTTTTCATAGTTCCCAGCACATAACGGAGGTATTTGTTGCTTGGCATAGGATCCATGTGTGTTCCTGGCCGACTGTTGCTCCACCCCCTGGGCCAGTGCCAGGTGCTCAGTGCCCAACAGCTGAATGGAATTCAGTGAACTCCAGGATGCACTGTCACCTGAGAAGTCTTTTGTAGTGTCAGAGGGTATCATTATTCATCCTCCTTCCTTACTCAATAGCCTCTAATCTCCTCTGCTCTTCATGAGGTTGCTGTTTATTCCTGAAACATTTATTAAGTATACCTGACATGTGTGAGACGTTGTGCTAACTGCAGGAGAGGGCACTGAGAGAGGAGAAAGGCATGGTTCCTGCCCATAAGCCAGCTCCATCCAGGTATGGAGCTACCCACAGGAATACCATCCTAGGGTGCGCTGGGAAGTGCTGCAGGGTCCCTCATCCTCTTCTCACACCACACCCTCTCTAGGTGATCTCAGATCCTCACAGAATCAGAGGAGTCCCTTACCTAATCTAATCCAGCTTTCTCCCACAGGACAAATTCTGAGCTCTTCATCTAAAATTACCCTGGGTATTTTCACCAGTGTGTCTCATAGGCAAAATCTAAAACTGAATTCATCTCTCAAAAACAATTTAGTGGTATTTCAGATAAATAGAATCATAGCTTATTGAGGAAATTATGTTGAGATATTGGGTAACCCTATGGAGGAAAAATTTTTACATCAGAAAATATTCCAGGAGGATAAAACATTTAAACATTAAAAATTATATCAAATAAAGACTTTGAGTATTTTTGTAAGTGAACTGGAGAGTCACTGGAGATTTTAAGCCAGGGAGTGACATGGTCTGATGTTGTAGCAGGATCACTCCAGCTACTGAATTGGAAGAGAGGGGGAGGCTATATTCAGCAGACTGCATTATTGCCACTGGGAAGTAAGCAGTCACACCTGTCTTTTCCTCCTGGCTGCTTTTAAGATCTTCTCTTTGTCTTTGATATTTTGCAACTTCATTATGATATGTTTAGGCATGGACCTATTTTCATTTTTCCAACTTGGGATTTGATGAGTGCAATGAATCTGAAGTGTGTTGTCTTCCAATAATTCTGGAAAATATTGTGACAGTGTCTCTTTCCTACATTCTCTTTTATTTCCTCATGAGACTTCACCTAGACATACTCGTATTGGTAAGCAGAAAAAAACAGGTTACCAAACATATATAATGTACATACAAAACTTACCATTTTTGTTTTTTAAACAAACATATATGCATTTATGTATGTATGTATTTATGTATGTATGTATGTATGTATGCATGCGTTTGGAAAAATATATACCAAAAGGTGATTATCTTTGGTTGTTAGGATTGTTTTTAGTCTTTAATTATTGTTATTGTTGTTACTTTGCATGTTCTCTCTTTACCCCCTCAAAGAGCATATATTACTTGCATAATAATATTAAATTATCGGTGGGAAATTAAATAGTAGCGTGTTTCTAAAAGGCTTGTCCAAGCGTAAAAGTGACCATTTACTGACAAAGCACTTAGCTCAGAAGCTCGCGGCTGCGGTTTCCCGGTGCCCACGTCCATAGGCGGTCAGGGTTCACGGCCGCAGACAGCCGCCAGTGTCTCAGGCACCGCCGAGGCCAACCCAGGCAGTGCGCGGGTCCTGACGGGGGGCGGGGCACGTCAGTCCGGAAGAGACGCGGTGCCGCGCATGCTCCTTCCTTTCCAGCTCCGGACCCGGACGCAGAAGCCGTAACGGTGAGCTCCTCTGAAGTATGGGTTCCATCGGCCCCCATCCTGGCTCTCTCGCCGTCGTGGTCGCCGCGCTTACGCGGGGTCGAGGTGGGGGGCCCATCTACCGCTGCCCGCGCGCCCATTTTTGGGTAGTGAGAGGGGCCGGGGGCGCACTTTTGAGGGGTAGTGGGGCTCTGTTGCTGAAGATTGGCGTCCTGATGGCGGAGAGCGGAGAAGGGAATGAAGCCCTTGCGTGGCGGGCACTATCCCGACAAGGCAAGAGGGACTGCACCCCGCTAGCACGCCTTTCCTTCGGAAAAGAAGCCCCTCACCCCCGGCTGCCTCCTTGCTTGGCCGTAGAGCTCTAGTTTGGAGGAAGAGCGAGTGGTAGGAGGTGACGGGGCGAAGGCCTTAGCACTGTTGTTTGGGATCAGCGGCCTGTCATGAATCAAAGACTTTCCCAGATACTCTGGGCCCTCCCTGCGTACCTGAAAGTTCAGCCGCGCTATTCCACACCTAGGTACAGTTGCTGACGGTCCCCAAATACTCCGAGAATTCCATTATACCTTTGTGATTGTGGGGGTGAAAGTTAGGAGTGAATCTGTGCCCCTTTCCCCTTTTGTTTTAATGCCTTGTCAACTGAAGTGTTGAGGGCCGGGGGAGGGAGCTGGTAACTGGTGGGTTTCGGTTTTGCGGAATTTGAGTTTATTTCTCCTGCATGTTTTCTATGTGTTTTGAGTTTTCAACCCATGGGACAGTGACTTTTATGGTCACTTGGGGGTCATGAACTCTGTTCATGTACCCTGGCCACATTGCTCAGAGTGCTGTTGGTGATCGGATCGTTCCTTTCTTGCAGATGTTGATGCCCAAGAAGAACCGGATCGCCATTTATGAACTCCTTTTTAAGGAGGGGGTGATGGTGGCCAAGAAGGACGTTCACATGCCCAAGCACCCTGAGCTGGCAGACAAGAATGTGCCTAATCTTCACGTCATGAAAGCCATGCAGGTAGCCTGGGGGCTGCTGGAGTGGGGTGCAGATGGAGGGATTGTCCACTGATGTTCAAGACAAATTCCAAGGAGAGTTCAGGACAGCCAGAGCTGCTAGCTGCCTTGAAGGGCTGTGAGGTAGATACACTGTGAAAGCTCGTCTGCTAGCAGTTTAGCTTCCCTTTGCACCTAGTTTCTAGCTTTGAGCCCTTAGTTATGTCTTAACAGAAGTTTTCTGTCTTGACAGTCTCTCAAATCACGAGGCTATGTGAAGGAACAGTTTGCCTGGAGACATTTCTACTGGTACCTTACCAACGAGGGCATCCAGTATCTCCGTGATTATCTCCACCTGCCCCCCGAGATCGTGCCTGCCACTTTGCGCCGCAGCCGACCTGAAACCGGCAGGCCAAGGCCCAAAGGTATGGTGCACGATTAAATGCCTCCAAGGGCCTGCTCTGCAGCTGCTCTTTCTGGAGAGAGGGGTATGTGGGGAATGGTGGGGTTTGTGTTTCTGTGTGGGGCGGAAGTGGGCTTAACAATACACTATTGGCCTCAGCTTTGGAGGGACTGTGGCATGTATGACCTTGGGTCAAGTCCTGGAACCTTTGTCCCTTGACGTGGGACTTGTAATGGAACTGGACTCGGGTCTTCAGGCCATCTGGGGAGATGGCAGCATTAAACACAGAATGTTAGTCTGCAGCCAGACATGTGTGGTAGCACTGAGTGACTTTCTAGGAGAGGGAGGGTATGCTTATCCCCAAGGAGTCAAGCGCGAAGCTGTTCGCCACATGTGAAGGAAATTAAGTTTTATAGGGTTTCTTGGCAGTGGGAGCAAGAACAAAGTCAACTGTGGGAGAAGAGATACGTATTTAGTCGTGGTGTGAAAGGATATGTTCGGGGGCGGGGGGCGGGAAGGATCACTGCTGGTTTGCAGTTGCATTTTTGGCAGGGTCATGGTTTCCTTTTCCTTAGGTCCTGAAAAAACTTGTCATAGGAACTTCGTAGGAGGAGCAGTTTGTGGGCTTGGGTGATGAGATGAGATGCCTCTTGTCTCTTGCCTAGAGAGAGACTTCATGGAGCTCAGGGATCTATTTTTTGTGAAAGCTCCCTGGGGGATTCTGGTGGTTAGATAGGGTAATGTATCTTTAGAGCAAAGGTTTTCCACTGCATCTTGGAATCACTTGGGCCAGAGGATGCCAGGCGCCCCTGCAGATTCTGATTTAGTTGGCCTGTGTGGGATCTGGCATTTAACGTCTTACTTCAGTTCATATTCCCACTGTATGGACTCTAGGTATATTCCAAGGTAACTGGGTAGAGAGAATACTAATTTAAACTTCCAGTGTTCTGTCTTAATATGGTTCCCACAGCCTGAAGGAGGTATGCGGAGAAGCCCAGGGAGGAACTGGGTTCTTGGTGGTCTCTATGTATTTAGTGTTGGAGGTGGGGTTTTCAGCTTATGATGCCTCCTTTCCCATTTGCACAGGAAGTTTTTCACTTCTGAGATGGGTCAAGTTCAGAATATTGGCCATTGAAATGTTTGTAGAAATGGCTGGATTTCTTAATTTGCCAAGTAATTGGAAAATGCATTTATGTTGAGAAATGCAATAGCAGAAAGCAACCCTTTTGCAGATATGTGGCATTTTAACTAAGATGTGAGATTTCCTAGGCCTTTGAGGAGCCAAAATGTCAATAAGTTTCTAGCTGGCAGTTCTGGGTGTAGGAGTTCCTGTCCGCATTAACCTGTTGCAACTAAGTTGTACAGTGAGACTAGGAGAGCAATTCCAGTTTTCTTGGCCTTGAGGGAACAGAATTCTGTGTTGTCCTATGTTCACAGTGTGACTTACTTTGTGTAGGTCTGGAGGGCGAGCGACCTGCAAGACTTACACGAGGGGAAGCTGACAGAGACACCTACAGACGGAGTGCTGTGCCTCGTGAGTAACTCGTCTCATCTATATCTGGTGTTGGGGTAGGACCTGGCTTCTCGGTCAGCCCTGGCTGGGACTCAGAGATGCCAGGGTGACTGGGAAAGAGCCTTAGTTTCAATCTCCAGATCATCAGCTGGAGTCCTTCGTGCGTCTTGCCTAGTGGGGATTAGGAGGAATGCCCTCTGAGCTGGGGACACAGAAGACTAGAGTCGAAGAGCATTAGAACAAAACTGAAAGCTCTCAGGAAAGCTACATATGCTTTCAGTGGTGTGTTCCTGTGTTGTAAGCTCCTTGAGAGCGGGGCCCACTCAAATTATCTTTGTTTTCTTATTGCAAAAATAGTTTTTAGGGGCCAGCTGAGTGGCCCCGTTGGTTAAGAGTGAGCACTCTGAGCATCAGGGTCACCAGTTCAATTCCCAGCCTGAGCTGAGCTGCCAACAGGTGGCAGAGTGGCTCAGCTAAAAAAAAAAAAAAAATCTTGTTTTTAAATAGCAAATGTTTTTGTTGACTTGGAACAACAGATGTTTGTTCTATCATCAAATATATTGAGTTGCCTGTGGTGTGCCAGGCACTGTTCTAGGAGCTAGGGAGACAGTAGTGCACATAACAGACAAGAAGCATCTCATTGAACTTGAAATTTAGTAATAGGAGACGGACAAGCAAAAATAAGCGTATGATATGTCCAGTGGTGTGGGAGTTGTTCAGTTTTCAGTAGGGTTTTCAGGGAAAGCTGCAGAAGTGAGATTTAAGCACCTGAAGGAGGTGAAGGGGAGCCAGCCAGAGGCTATCTGGGGACAGAGCACTTCAGGCAATGGTCCTGTGGGGAAGGCACCTGGCTTGTGTAAACCACAGAAGACAGCCGCAAAGTCAGGTGAGATAGATCTCACAGCTTTGTGGGCCATGGTAGGACTTAGGGTTTTACTCTTGGGTAAGATGCAGAGCTATTGGTAGTGTTTTGTAGAAGAGTGATAGGATTCGATTTGTTTTTAAAGAGTAACTGCTGTAGCAGTAAATTGTGATATAAAAAGCAAGGTACGAAAGGGAATTTTTATTACTTAATATTACTATTGCCTCCCTCTTGTCATGGTTCCTAATTCTTCGTATCTGAAATAGTGACCACTTTACCTGAATACCTTACAGGACAGTAGTAAGAATGAATTCCTCCAGCAAACGTGCTCTCGGTTTAGAGAAAGTTAGTGGTTGCTCTTATTAGAAGTCACACCACATGGGGAACCACTCAGGGAATGGTTCTCCAGAGGATGTGACAGTTGGGCCTGAGCCTCAAGGGTCCTCAAGTTGAGGGGGGTGAGCATTTCAGGCAAAAGATCAGCATGAACAAACATAGGAAGATGGGGAAGACACTGGCTTACTGGTCAAAAGGGCAAGGGAGTGAGCAAATGAACGTGTAGTGGGTGTGGTCTGAAATGGCCCAAAGGAAGACCCCAATTTGAACAAGGCTTACTGAAACCATACTCTATTGACCCTGCTGCCCCAGCCCTCCAGTATGAACTGTGGAATTTCCTTGCAGCCACACTTAAAGCAAATGGAAATAGTTCGCATGAATGTTAATTTTTTAACCCATATAAACATTAATGGGATATTTTGCTTTCTCTTGAAATCTGATGTGTATTTTGCACACATCTCAACTTGGACTAGTGGCTGCCAAACAGGACAGGGCAGCCCTAGAGCTTTCATCTTGCATTTCTCCCCATGGTCGTAATAAGGTTGCTTTTTCTCCTGTGGGCCCTTGTGTCCCTTACCTTCTGGCTCTTCGCTCACTGAGCTCCCTTTGTAAGCTGGGTGCTGATCTGAAGCATATAAGTAACTCAGTGATGGAGTTTGAGGGTCCTCTGGGGCCGTATGGGAAGGACACATAATTGAGACTTTGGTCAGGGCAGCCTTCCTGGAGGAGGCAGTAGTTTGGGCTGTGAGTTTTGAAGGATTACGTAAAGAAGGCTGCCCTTGGAGAGGGAGGGGGCAAAGGGGGCTCAGAAGGTGTTTTCCACCGCTGGTTATAATTTACTCATACTTCATGGGGTACATTTGCTGACATGGCTTTTCCCGCCAAGCCATGGGTTGGGTGACTTATCTGCATTCGGTGAGATCATAGGATGCATCTGAATTGGTGTTTCTCATTCCAGCTGGTGCTGACAAGAAAGCCGAGGCCGGGGCTGGGTCCGCAACCGAATTCCAGTTTGTGAGTATTCCCTGTTCACTGTCCATGAGCAATCACCTTCTGGCCTCAGCCCTGCGGGTCTGCAAGTTGTAGGGATGTAGTATAGGATTTGTGGGTCCCACCCCTTTTTTTTCCCCTAAAACCCACAAACTCCAAATAAGTTTTGACATTAGGACACAGTATACAAACTTCTGTACATACATAAATTACTGAAATGAGTCTCACAAATCGATACTACTTGTAGCATAGTGGTATTTTCTATTTCATTAAATAGTCGTAAACCCATTAGTTTCATGAACATTTAAAGTTGAGAACCTACCACTAGGGATTGAGTGGGTTCTAGAGCCAAGATGGTCTGGAACCAAATCCTCCATCTTCAGATGATGTGACCTTGGACAGATGCCCCTCTGGGCCCCAGTTTCCTCACATAAAATCCAGGTGATGTTGCAGCTGTCTCAAGATAATTGTGAAATTAGTTAATCCAGGTCAAGTGTTTGCATGGGGACTGGCCTATCGCTGCTGGCACAACAGCTGTCCTGTGGCAGGTCTTCACAGCACACTGAAAAGGTGCTGTGTATGGCAAATACAAGCTCAGGTCCGTGCTAGGTGCTTCCGTGTGTACATGTGAGCACACACTTGAGTGGTTATTCATATTGCCATTTCACAAATGAGGTAACAGACCTAAAAGGTGAGTGTGGTCCTACAGCCAATAAGGCAGGGCTAGGATTTATGCCCTGCACTCTGAGGGGGGCCTCACCAGTGAGAATGAGACCTGCTGCCCAGCTTACTGCTAATGCTGATGTCATGTGCTTTCTCTTACAGAGAGGCGGATTTGGTCGCGGACGTGGTCAACCACCTCAGTAAAATTGGAGTGATTATTTGGTGTTGAATGAGCTTGTGGCGAAAAAATAATCTGTGTGCCCCCGTTTTTGCATAATGTAGCCTGAGCCAGAATGTTTTTAAAGTCAGAGTATAAATGGAGCAAGACTGCATTGGTTGAGGGGAGTCCCTCGACTGGTCGAGATGGTCAGCAACCTCAAAGTAAAGTCAACTTTGAAGAGGAAATAATCGCAGCATCCTGGCAGTGATTTTGGCGTTGAATAAACTTATAGAGAGAAAATAATCTCCTGTGCCCCCATTTTTGCATAACAAAGCAGCCTCAACAGGAATAGGTTTGAAGGTCAGAATGTAAGTGGGTCAAAAGATTGGATTGGTTTGGGGAGTCGTCTTTTCCAGGGTGAGACCAGTTGTTGCTATTAAACAGCAGTGCTTGGTTTTGGCCTGGGTGTGCTCTGTTCCCAAAGATACCTCCCTGCAGTCATGTCCACTGTGGTTACCATTCTGGGAAGTGGTTGGAAAAGCTGGACATCTTCACCAGACCAGACATGCTGGCTCAGCTCTGTGGTGAGAAAATGGCTCTTTTGTTGGTCTTGGAACTGAGATCCTGTGTCTGCTGTCTGGGAATATCTGAGAAGTGCTGGGGAGGTAGGATGTAAGAAAACCAGGGAAATAACTGTCCTAACATCCTTCGCAGATTGACGGGCAAGAAACTACAGGAATAGCATTTAGGCCAACACTTATCTTGATCTTTAAGGCTCGGGGTTTACAAAAATCAAGAGGGAAAACAAGAATGTACGAAAACATCTGAAAGCGGCCCAGCACCTGAAGACCCCTGAGATTTTTGTTTTGCCATAATCAGAATAAAAAGTTCTTGGAGCTCCTGCTGCTATCTCATGGCCCCTTGAAAAGGGGAAATGCATTGTACAGTTTCCTGGAGCCTTTGTAAGTGGTGATGCAGAATGATAGCCACCTATTTCAGTCTTGATAGGCAGGTGTGTAATTTAGACCACAAGGTGGCAGGAGACAGCAACTGCAACTCAGTGCTGGGAGGTGTGCTTTGGAATCTGAATCACCAATAAGTCGAAGCTTGCTTTGGCAGAAAGAGGTAGTGTTTGGGGGAAGCTGTTTCAGTGTTGCCGTGCCAGAGATCGCTTTTTATCCAATTTTTCTGCTGGCTCGAGTGATGTCAAGTGGTTTGCCCGTGTTCACACGCCTGGTGATTGTTTAACCTGGATTCCACGGTGAAATGTTAGTAGCTCCTGGCCTTTCTGTTTCCCTTTGAGGCCAGAGAGCAAACATGGGTTTTCTATATAGCCTTGGTGATTTTCTGGCACTAAAACTGTTTTTCAGCTAGGGCTCTTGGCCAGCCCCTTCCCTCGTGCTTTCAATTAACTTGAGAATGCGTTCTCCAGTGTCACCCATGGACTCGGAAAACCGGAAGAATCTACATGATAGAGGCAGAGTCTGGATAAAAACGCAGATGGTGGCTCTTACTGCTTGCCAGCCCCCTCCCCTTATCTTGTAGGATTGAATGGCCCCTGCCAATCAATAATCATTGATTAGCTACTCAGGGATCAGTGCCCTGGAAAAGTATGGCCTTCAAGAAACGAAAACAAAACCAGAGATCTACACTGAGTCCATAACGCCAAACCCTATGTAAGTGGTAAATCATGTCCAGGCTGAATTCTAAGGGAGGGTGAGACGGACAATGGATGGAAGCTGAAGTGACCCAGAGGTGGGTTTAAGGAGCAGGGGAGAAGTGAGACCAGTCAGGGCACCTTAAAGAGGTTTTATTGGAAAATAAAAATGGCATGGTGTTGAGTTGTGACACTGATGTCAGAAATTACGATTTTTTTTTTTTTTTAGTAAAAGCTAGGAAAAACAAATGTTGGCTATTAAAAGTACCTGAGAAGGTCACTTGGGGTGGGTGCATTATGAGGAGCCCGTAGAGGCTCACCTGGATACCTGCATGGGCACATCACTGGACAAAAGTTGCGTGGAAATTTTGGCCCATCTTACGGGGTTGGTCTCCAAGCCCATAGCTCACCAGCTAACCCCCACCCCCACTACTACTAGCAAAAAAGGCTCCAGAAGGCTTTTAGAGGGATTTGGGAGCTAACAGCTGAAGATACATTTTCCTAATTTAACAAACTTCCCAATATGGACACATTTTCCCTGAAAAATAGTGCCAATAGCAGCTTTAGGTCTCTTGACTCTGAAGCTCTACTGTTTGATTAACTTAGTAGACCTTTCAGAAGCAGCTACACATGCTGTAGATGCTGAGAGATAAAAGACGGTTGGGGGGGGGTGCGGGGGTGTTTTTGACTGATGTTTTTCAGAAGAATACGCCCTCTAGCCCTGACGATATGCGGACCCGCTAGAACACTACCTACATGAGTGCCTGGCACAGGCCTCCAGCAGGGCAATGTGGGAACATCATACCTAGGAATCCCCCCTTCCGCCTCTTGTCTTCAGAAGCCAGGCCTGCTGAGTACTAGAATGCAGGCCCCACTGTGCCCCAAACTTCAAGGTTTGGGAATGCAGCCAGTAGTGGCCCCATAGCAGTGCGGGGTCATGGGCTCCTACCTCTTCTGCTTTTATGCCGAATCCTTAGAATGGAGTGATCAATCCTTTTACTTCTTAGACCTGGGAGAAATGAGATGGGAGAAAAGAGTCTTGCTGATAACACTAATCAGGACAATTGTTTCAAAGCCCACAGATGAGGGAGACCCTGGCTCTGTTTTGGGATAAGTTTTGGCTAAGTTTCCAATGAGTGTCGAGCACTCTTGGCTCTCAGAGGCAGGATCAGTGATCTAGGTGAGAGATGGCCATTTTGGTTAGGTTTTCAGGACAAGGACTTGGTCTTACGGTGCTGTGGAAGGAAGCTGGTGGTCTGTGGGCAAGTAGGTGACTGGGCTGGGGGTGGGGGTGGAGGCTCAACCCTCACCCTTGACCTTGCCTCAGACTGTCACTGATTTCCCCAGAACCAGCGCAGTCCCTAAGACGCTCCCTGCCTCTAACTTTGCCTCATTTCCAACCTCTCGCCACGCCGCAGCCAAGGTTATTTTTTGAAAACAAATATGAACAAGGTATTCCCCAGCTTAGAGTCCTTCAAAAGCTCCATATTGCCTTCTAGAGTTTTCCAGAATCTAGACAAATGCCAGACTCCTTTCATGGCCTAACAGGTTCATCACAACTTCGCATCTGTTTACCAAAACAAGGCTCGGAATCCCAGGATCCTGCTAAACTAGCTAGTGTTCTATCTCAGCTTCAGGCTTTTTTGCATGCAGCATTCCTTGTACAGAGAAACTCCCACCTCCACCCACTTGGGGCTCTTACTCATTCTTCATGATACAGATTAAATACCACTTTTAAGGAGCCTCTCCTGACAAAACTGCCCCTACTTCAAAGTCAGGTGAGTCGCCCCTCCAGTCAGAACCCGCAGCGTCTCAGACTTACCAGGCTTCATTGGAACTGCGTGGACACTGTCTTGTCTCCTCTCTGTCACTGAGCCTCATTCTGGGGGCCTAGCTAGTGCCTCACGTGCAGTGTCTTCTCTGTAATTGTTAGCTGTATGAATGATGTTCAGTCAGGATGTGTCTCTGAGATGTTGTCCCCTTCTATGGAAAGAACACTTGTGCAAAACAAACTGCAGACCTAAACTGGGAATGCAAAAATGACTGGGATGTATACTTGCTATGGAGGCTCTGCCAGAATTAGGAAAGACAGACCTAGAAACATACACTAAAGTGGCAGGTGGCTTAGTGGCACTAGCCGAGTTTTATGTGTGGTTTGTGGGGAGAGGGGAGCAAATATCCAGGGGAACGCCTCCCATCGTGGGTCACTGTGACCATCTGAGCTTAATGTTCACAATTTGGACTAAAACTGCATGAAGCAATAATGGTGGCTGGCCCAGGAGTATGTATTATTCTTTCATTTATTTTTCCAGCTTTGTTGAGGTATAATTGACACATGCAAAAGTGCATATGAGTATGTTTAGCGTGTACAATCTAATAAATTCTAACATATATACCCGTGACATCAAGATAATGAACATATCCATCACTCAAAAAGTTTCCTTCTTAGTTTGTAATCCCTCACTCCACCCCCATTGCCAGGCAAAAACAAGGATCTGCTTTCCGTCAGGATGGATTAGTTTGCATTTTCTAGAGTTTTATAAAAATGGAATTACACAGTATGCACTCTTTATAGTCTGGCTCCTTTTACCTGGAATCGTTGTTTTTGGATTCATGAGTGTTGCTGCATGTATCAGCAGTACCTTTTTATTGCTGAGTGGAATAACATTGTATGGATAGACCAGTTTTTTATCCATTTACCTGTTGGGGGGCATTTGGGTTGTTTCCAGTTTGGGGCTATTGTGACGAATAACTGCTATGAACATTCCTGTATAAGTTTTTGTGTGGGCGGGGGTATAGTTTCATTTCTCTTCGTTATATACCTATGAATGGAATTGTTGGGTCACATGGTAACTCTATGGTTCACATTTTGACGAACTGCCAAACTGTTTTCTTTTTTTTTTTAAAGATTTTTATTGGGGAATTGGGGGGATGGGAACAGTGCTGGGGAATTGGGGGAAGGGGAACAGACAAGTTGCTATCGTTTTGTTCTTCAGTCTAGTTGTGGAGGATGTTGCTTCACTGGCCCAAGTTGGCACCATCATTGCGCTCTTCCCGGGCGAGGCAGATCAGTCGCCGGCTTCTGGACGGCCGCTCACTGCGGCTGCTGGCCGCTCACGCTGGCTGCTGGCCACACACGGTAGCCCATGGCAATCCACTGCCACAGGGGCTGCAGCCCACGCCGTCGCCGGCACTCATGGCAGCCCAGCTCCAGGTTGAGCTGTTGTTCAGCATCTTAGCTGTAGAGGGCAGTGTCACTGGCCCTCATATGTGGGATCCGAACCGGGGCCCTCTGGCATCCCAAGCGAGTTCTTAACCATCGCGCCACTCGGCCAGCCCTGCCAAACTGTTTTCTTAGGTGGCTGTACCATTTTCCATTTCCCACCAGCAGTGCGTGAGTTTCAGTTGCTTCTCATCTCCATCAGTTCCTTCAGTCTTTTTATTTAGCCACTCCAATAGGTGTGAAGGGTTTGAATTTTATTCTTTGGATGATAGTGAGCCAATTACCAGTATAAAGGTGAGGACTGACATGACCAGGAGTGCTGGCTGCTTGGCAAATACTTGAACTCCCACTGCAGGAAACAGTAGCCTGAATTTGGGTCTGTGCAGTGGCCACACTGGGGCACTGAGTGGCCATGGGTAAACCACTCCGTCAGTGGTGACCACAATACACATTCAGCCTGCTAACGGGAAAGGGAGGGGGGGGGGAAATCCATCATTTGATTGCTCAGTTTTAGAAAGGGAAACTAGGACAGAATGAGGGCATTAAGGGAGAGAAATGAAAGGAATTGTTTAAAAAAAG